AAATTTTATAGCATGGGTTCCCAAACTGTGGGTCGCTACCTCCAGGGGGGGGGGGGGGGGGGGGCGCGAAGTGCTTTCTGGGGGTCGCCAACTGGTAGACCAAACCCTAGCACAGAAATTAAAAACATAAATATTTAGAAGAAATATCTAAAAATTCGGCTTTACTAACATCACTGGAAATGGAATAGTCAGGAAACAATGCGTAATGTTCTCAGTCACGAATCTATGAAATCTTCAAAACTAAAACATCATTTTAGACGAGTCATTTGAAACACGCCAAAAAATATGGAGTTCTTTCGTCAACATGAAGCTAGTTGCAAACGTCAGAGACTTGATCGAACTGGAAGTTTTCACCGAGGAAAAACAGCATTAGTGCAAGTTTCAAATGAAGTCACATTAGAAATTGCCAAGCAAAAAAAAATAAAAATAAAAATAAAAGGAAAAAAATCTCATCAAACCCTGCATGTTGAAGATGGTGAAATTAATTATTGTGGATTCCAGTACAGTAAAGATGCAACAAATATCATTTAAAAAATCGTGTAAGAATAAGGGTCATTACATTATATGAAATAGTGTGGGATATTAAACAGAAAATATTGTTAGTAGCGGGTTGAGTGGGGAGGGGGAGATCACAAATTACTATATTGAAAATATATTATATTATATTATATATATATATATATATATATATATATATATATATATATATATATATATATATATATATATATATATATATATATATATATATATATATATATATATATATATATATATATATATATATATATATATATATAATATATATATATATGATCCTTGAGATTATTTGTCCTGATATCATTTATCCTGTCACCATATATGTATATATATATATATATATATATATATATATATATATATATATATATATTCTCACTATTAGCTGCACAAATGTATTAAAGTGTAATGATATATGTCTCCCTACTACAAGATTACCAACAGAACCAACTATTGTTCTAAGCCCCAATGTGGTGTTTGTGGACAGCCGCACAGTCCACTGTGGTTTGTGGCCTGTATTTACACGTACACGTTTTTTTACCCGTCATGCCCTGGTCGCCTGCTAACACCGGAAGTGAAGACAGATCGATTTCAAATGTTTGGTCGACGTGGCGGTAAGTTTTCAAGTGGATAAAAGCCGATTGGTTTAGCCGTACACATTCGTCAACCTTAAGGGAGTTAAACTGATGGAGTATTTGTGGAAGTTTTAAATTGATCAATTAGATTGCGATCATTGATTATATGTATATGTATATATATATATATATATATATATATATATATATATATATATATATATATATATATATATATATATATATATAGAGAGAGAGAGAGAGAGAGAGAGAGAGATTTCGATATACCTATAGATATGCACATACAAATTCTGCCATTACTTCACACTAGTTCACTAATTTAAAATTTGTTTAAAACTAACAATCGATGTAAGACCTTACCAATAAGAACTTCTCAAAGCAGTATGTAAAACAATAACTGTTGGAAGATCGAAATGGTGCACGGGCGCATTGTGGGTGTGGGTTGGGGGGGGGGAGGTGGAGGTCTACCTTAAGATTCTTGGTAACTGGATAGAAGCCGAGCGGTCTTCACGGCTAGAACACGGTTTACCTAATTGCTTAATTCCAATATCTATAATCAAATTATTCCTAATTAATTCATACTTCACAGTTACTGTGTAAAAAAAAAATATCGGAGAGGGGAGGTAACTATGTCCCACACTTGTGTAGAAGGGCTACTACTCTCAAGGCTATCAATGAATTCCGACCGAAACTTTTTTTATGCTGAGTATGCCGTGGTTGCACTAATAGAATTGTACGGTACTGGCACTCCATTTTTGAGGACTCGGGTCTGCCTGGTAACACGTTCGACAAATCTTGTTTAATGGTCAGACCAGGGCACACAACTCTCGTGTATTGTACGTGAGTAAACATTAATTACGTCCCTTTTTTTTTGGGTGTAGGGAAATTTTGGTGTGAAAATGGGAGACAATTCGGGAGGTATTTCAAGGGTTGCAGCCCTTACTGCCGAAATAGGAAATATAGCCCGTTATGCCTAAATTGAAAGTGTAGCCTGTAATACCGAAACAGGAAGTATAGTCTGTAATACCGAAACAGGAAGTAGGCCTATATAGCCTGTAATACCGAAACAGGAAAAAATAGCCCCTAATGCCGAAATAGCAAGTGTAGCCCATAATTCGGAAATAGGAAGTAAAGTGAATAATGCCGAAATAAGCAGCATAGTCCTTAATAGCGAAACAGGAAGTGTAGCCCGTAATGTCAAAACAGGAAGTATAGCAGTTAATGTCGAAACAGGACGTGTAGCCCAAAATGCCGAAATAGGAATATAAGATATCGCCCATTCTGCCGAAATTAAGATAACATATCTTTTAATATTGTTGAAAAGATACGTAATTTAACACTAAAACTTTTTTTTTCATTTGAAAATAATCTTTGACTCAGAATACGGACTATTTCAAGTGTCTTGTACGTCACAGACGTAACATTATAGCTAGTAACTCTTTTTTTGTCTGAGCGAAATCTCGTAGATCAACCCCTACAGATGTAAAAATTCTCACGTGAAGGCACCTAGGAGAGTTATGTCACGCGGCGTGATCACGTGACCAATATATATATAACGGTACAAAGTATGTCCTTACTGTACGTATCAGTGAGTGGTATTAGATGTAGAGTAGCAAGAAGGGGGGGGGGGGGTAGTAGTGGTGGTTGGGGGGGGGGGGGGGAGGTCCCATCAAAGTATTTAAATTTTCCATGAAATAGTGTTGATATAATATACGTACTGTCAAGAAGAACGGAATAATTTTTAAAAATTAAGATAAACAAAAATTAATTCAACAAACTTAATGTTAAGCAGGTTAATTTAAGGTGAGTACATCATATTATCCATGAATTAATATTTAATCCCCCCCCCCTTCATTCCCCCAAAGCAGTTTATTTTTTTTAAATTGTCGATGTCAATTTTGTAGTGGATTGGACTATGTACATGTTGTTATTCTTACGATAAAAATTCAATAGCATTGTTAACACAATTTTTCGCGAATGCCCGTATTTACTAATTGTAATGAAACCAAATTTATACTTAAAAAAAAATTCCTCCAAAATAAACAATATTTAAGTGAACTTTGAGGAATTTAATTGAAGTTTAACTAAGTCAAAATTAAAAAGGGTGATATCATTTGTTAAATCAATTTTTTTTATTCTTTGAAGGAAATTCGTTCTCTTATTAATATTATCAACATGTCAAGGGAGGCAATTCACAAAACTAAAACGAAATGTAGTAAAATAATATTGTGTATGAGTACAAAAAATTTGGTTTTGGATTAAAAAGTGTAATGTTAGGTTTTACAATTTTATAATAGAACGTTTAAGATAATTTGTAAAGTTTCGTATTTTAATTCAAATAAATAGATAAAATTAAAAGTTAATACTCTAGCTAGTTTCACAAGTATTAAATAGAGTCTTCATTTATTGAAATTGAATTGAGATTATCAACTTTGTATTACATATGGCAGGTGTCGGCAACCTTTAGACAAAAGTTACAATTTTCAAAATTTCCCTAGTTTTAAAGAGCCACTAACATTTTTTTTATTTCAAATATTTTATTTTTTTATTAAGATTATTAGTATTTGTTCAAGGAGCTGGAGAGCCGCATCTTGATATCAAAAGAGCCGCATGCGGCTCGCGAGCCGCAGGTTGCCGACCCCTGACTTATGGTGCAAATCTAAGTTCCCGGAAATAAAAGAACTTAATTAATGTAATTAATGTTTAAAATAAATTTTAAAAACAAATGTGGGGGGACAGGTAGATATATAGATGTTTTAAAAGGGAAGAATGTTTGATTTGATTTGTCTCATTGCACTCAACATAACATTCAGATTGCTTGAAATTGTCATAATTTTAGTTTTCTTTAATCCCAAATTAATTTCAGTTCTACTTAAAAGCCCAACCCCCCTCAGCCCACAACGCCGATGGAGAAAACAAATCCATTGAATCATCATTTAAGTACACATATGTATTTTCAGGTTTTGAAAAATAAAATAAAATTGTAATTAGACTTTTTGTATTAGATCTATCTATAATTGAACCATCTTAAAGTAAGAAAGAAATATTACTATTGTAAATCTGTGTCAGTCCTCAAAAGCAGATGACGAAAACTAAAAACTAAAGCGAACATGGCAGGGCAAACTGACGCTGTAAATTATATGTCAGAGGCGAAATTTAAAAAAAAACCATACAATTTAATTACTAATAGATTAACATTTGTATTACTATTTTAATTTTAGTTTAAAACTTAATGTCTTAACTTTTGAACGGTTTGGCAAAATTTCTTTCAGGAGACAACTCACCGATAACAATAAATTTAAAATAAATCTGGGTTATTTCCCTTTCATTTTGAAAAATAAAATCCAGCCCGCAAAGATGAAGGCATGAAAATCTGCAGCTTAATTAAGAAAATATGGCTATTGTTTTTTTTAAGCGCAAGGCTACTTCTTCAGTGAGTTTTTACATCTATATACATTCTAAATATATTTATAAACATTATAAATGATATGATACAAATATGTGTGTACATAGTTGCGGGAACGAAACCACGCAAAGCAGTGAGGTAAAACGTGTTTGACGCGAGTCTGGTGGTAACCACCAACACAACACTAGAATACCGCAACAAACTACACCAACATCACTAGAATCATTCAACAACATTACAACACCATCCCAACATCAGAAAAATACCACTACAAACACTATCACTTGGATTGTTATACCTCAACAACATCACAAAACTACAACAACAACATATAACATATAACATCAATATTATAATGACACAACATTAATTGCAATAAATACTACATTTTAGACTTCTGTATCAACGTAATCTTGTACATAATGTGTAATGGGACTTGTAAGTTTATCGTTCTTTCTCGCGTTAATTCGTGTCTGGTTAGCCAGGGAGAGATAAAAGTTTTCGAACTAAATCAATTGTTGTGAACGGGGTTTCCCATTGATAACAAAAAACATGGCGGCTATTTGTTAGTAGGTCCCGCTTCAAGATTTCAAAATCATCAAACGTTCCAGAAATGCAACAACTGTAAAAACTTTCAACGCGGTTTTGTTCATATGGATGGGAACAAACACATGTGTATGCATTTTTGAATATAAAAGTTTTGTGGCGGTAAGTATATTGATTTTATTTCTTTTGTTGATAGTTTGTCCAAGGCTAGGGGACATTACTCTGACTCTATTCAGTCTTTGCTACGAGACTTAAGATTCCCAGACCTAGATCATAGACCTAGATCTAGATCTAGATCTAGATTCTAGAATCTACCAACTAAGATCTACATTGCTTTAATCTAGTTCTAAGAGTATAAGTTCATGAATTAGAATATATTAGATCTAGATTCTAGATCTAGATCTAGTATTTTAGTGATCTAGATCTAGATCTAGATAATATTAAAAATATTAAGAAAAGGATGACGGTAAAAACTAAAACAACAGGAAAATGAGGATGACTTCCAGTCTCACTCAGCCTACGACTTACTTAATACTTATTAAGTTATTAATCGAATCTAGATTCTAGATCTAGATATTAGATCTAGATATCTAGAACTTAGACAACAATGTTAATGTTAATAGATCTAGATCTAGCTAGATTACTGAACTAGACTCTAGAGTCTAGTACTGATTACTCAGTGATTACTGTTTATTCAGTTTAATATTTTAGAAGTAGGCCTATTATTATACTATTATATATTAGTTATTAATTAGAAGTAGCTTGTAATGTAGATAGATGGCTAGATAGATAGTATTACTAGATCTAGATCGAGATAGTAGAATAGATCTAGATCTAGATTCTAGTTGCAGATGGTAGTATGGTAGGCCCTAGATCTAAAATCTAGATCTAGAGAATCTAGTAGATCTAGATCTAGATAGATTCTAGATCTAGATTAGATCTAGTTTAGGTAAAACCTACCCTAGTTAAGTTTAGTAAGAGCTAGTAATGCCTAGTAAGGCTAACCTGTTTTTAATTTTAAATTAATTTTTTTTATATCTAGAATCTAGACTAGATCTACTCTAGCTATTTACTAGATCTAGATCAGTAGCCAGTAGAGTGATTAGAGTAGTAGTAGAGTGTAGTGTAGAGTACTGTAGACTATTGTAGAGTGTAGGTACTAACAACTAGACTGAAACTAAATTAGACTAGAATCTAGGTCTAGATACATTTAGGGCTTACAGACTTATCAGACTACAGTGTTGCAATGAGTAGATCTAGTAATATATACTATAGATTAAATTTAGTTTGAAATTGTTACAGTAGTGCTACTACTTTTCTAAGTAGTAAGTAGTGTAGACTACTAGAAGAGCAAGATGATAGATCTCCATCAAGCTACAATAGAGTTTAGTTAGTAGTTAGTTAGTCATAGTAATAGTACCAAAAGCAGTGTAAGTAGCACAGTAAAAAAAAAGTATTACTAGGCCATCTATTATTGTATTAGGCCCTTTTATTTTTAGCAAGTTAAAGTTTGGTTAAGTACTAGTCTTCTAGCAAGTTGCCTAGTAGTAAACTTATAAACTAGATCATGTGTATTAGTACTATTAGACTTGTAGGCTAGTCTTGTTAGTCTAGACCAGGGACTATAAAATCTACAATTGATAACTTTCGGTCTTTTAGTATAAGCCTAATTATTAATGAATTACAGGGTACAAAAATTAATAAATTGGTCAGAGTCAGTATGGTTACAGTTAGCTGTTAATAGAATTAAGTTTTAGATCTATTGACTACAATTTTTAGTTACAAGTAATGAAAATGAAACTAATAGTTTTGTAATAGTTAAGATATGGTTAACTGTAAACCAGATATTTTAGTTTTTAAGACAAGCTAAGTAGATAGAAAACTGAACCTTTACAATAAATTAAACCTTTTATAAATATAAATATATATATATATATATATATATATATATATATATATATATATATATATATATATATATATATATATATATATATATATATATATATATATATATATATATATTAATATCTCATATTAGTTAAATAATTATTTTAATATAATATATGGATAAACTTAATAATTTATTATATTTAAATTCCCTAGGTACTTGGCAAGCAATTTTCTCACACTTTACTGTGGCTATTGGTGCTGATCTTGAACTAAAGGTGAGCTGAATTTTTTTTTTTATAATAAGCCATTTTTCAGCTTAAGCCCAAGTTTGAAATCGATTCAGTGTTCTAATTCTTAAAGAATATGTTGCTACTAAGATTATATACTGTAAGTATTAATATGTATGGCTTGATAGTGGGACTGTCAGACAGTAGATTTCACATTTCTATCCTAAAAGATAAGAGTTCAGATCCCTGGTTTTAGTCCTGGTATGATGTCCTAAGTCTCATGAGTACCAGCTCTCATGAGTACCTGGCTCAAGATAGGGAAATTAAAGGTGGCTGGGTATATACCTCTGAACACTCTAATTTTACATGCAAATGTCACAGAAACAGGTGAATTTTAATTCAACTGCTATATTGGCTGTCTGTTTTAATCAATGATTAATTTTTTCATATTACAGAAAGTTGTTAAAAATATTATTTATTTAATTTCTAGGTAAATGGAACAGCATGGATGTGGATTTTTAGACACAAGGAAGCTGAATTTAACTTTTAAGAAAGAATTTAAATGATGATTGTCCATGAAAAGAAATATTAATCATATACATTGTAATGCTGTATTGATGTATCTTCTGTTTTAAGTAATTAAAAAACCATCCATTTATGAAATTATTTTCATTTTTTTTTTTCAATTTTAAAACTGTAGTTCTGTTTTGTTATTTGAAAACAATGATGAAAGTATACTGAACTGCCATTGAGATATTAATATAAATGCTATTGTTTATAGTTTAATTCTTTTAGAAGCAACTATATTGACATCAAAACTGAATCTTTATTGTACACTAAGTATAAAAGCTTACCCGCAAACCAGTCCATGTCAACAATTTATTGACATTCAAACATTAAATTTTTTTAAAGGTGATTTTTCTTAAATAAAACAGACTACTTTCATATGGGATAAGAAACATTTAATTTTGAAATTGATTGGTTTATTAAATTTTAATGGAGCTGAAACTAAAACACTGGGTACAAATTTATTATTACTTTGTTTCTCAGAAAATTGCAAATTTTGAACATAAGAACTGTGGGAAGTAGGCAATGATGTTAAAATATCTCTTGAAACTTGAAGAAATTGTGGAAGGTTTAGAGATAGAAAACAACATTTCAGAAGATGATGTTTGAAAAAATGGTAAAATATCTTTAGCAATTGTCACTGAATAAATATTTTCATTAGACAAATCACATTTAGATATAGAAGAATAAGGTATGTCTTCAGATTTTCTTATCAGCGAAGATCCTGGGTGATTCTCTTTGTTACCATCGGTCAAACGACAAGCCAATTCTGGAAAATTCATTGGGTTCTTTGCCTGGGCAGCTAAATATATTTAAATTAAGTTCATGCAAGGCTTTAGAAACATCAATTGGATAAAACTCTATAACTTCATTAACTTTTTATTAATATCAGCTCCAAAGGAATAATATAAACAAGTTACACATCATCAATAAATCAAATTTGCAGATATTTCCATTTCACCAAACTTTCTCTAAGTCATAATATATATTTTAAATTCATGGCATTTGGTTAGGCTAGATATGTTGACTTTTATTTACCACAATAATCTGATTATATAAATTAGGATTACCCAGCTATCATACATTCTTCTTTTTACTGCCCTCCTTTATGAGGGAGAGGTAAAAATCATCATAAAATGTGTGATGCAATTTACAGATGAACCCTCTCTCTCTCTACCCCTCCCCCTATATATATATATGTATATCTACATAATCTCTAAAATCATGTTGGTACCTCTACCTGTTTGAATGTTAGGCCCCTTTCCTTCAACTGTTTCTGTGTGGATCTTCTCCATGGGGGTCATCTATAAATGACGTCACGCATTTTTTTGACGATTTTTACCTCCCCCCCTCCCCCTACACATCGTCACAAAAAGCCAGACCCCCACCCCCTAAAATGACGTCACACAGTACTAGATTCTAGATCTAAATTACTACAGTTGCCTACACTCTAGATTTAGTTCTTAAGTTCTACAACAAGACTACACTAAACTTCGCTAGATCTAGAATAATCTAGATTCTATATATAAATTGATATTGAACATATTCTAGTCTACCTGTCTTAAAGTAAATAGCCTATTTAGTAATTTAGTAATTAATTCCACTCAACTACACTGTAAAATAAAAGAAACTAGATCTAGAATCTAGATCTCTAGACTACTCTTGAGTCTATAAATTAAAAATAAATCCTGTAGGTCTATGTCGTATGTTACTGTCTAAGTCGGAATTTTCAAGAGGGTTTTTTTTTTAAGTTAGAGATATAGTCTATAAGTCTATATAAGTCTAGAGATATAGAATTCTAGATCTAGAAATCTAGACTCTAGATCTAGGCTATATATATTTATTAATTAAATTAGGCTTGATTTCAGATTTACGATTGAAATCTTTTAGGCCTATAAATATCATATTTTATATAGATTATAGATGTATTATTATTATACAGGTTGTATTCTAGATCTATCTAGATCTATATAAAATATAATATATTTGTGTGTGTGTGTTATTTTAAACTTAATTTACTTAAAACAACTTACTGTCGGAGTTTTATTTAATTCCAAAAACGAAAGTAGATTTCATAACTTAAAAAAAAAAAAAAAAAAAATATTCACATTTGGTTTGAAAAAACAAAAAAACGCCAGCTGGCAACTACCGGAGCGAGAACTTGGTAAGCTACTTTAACAACTTACAAGCCCAATAGTTCGAATGTGTACGTAATTTTTGTTTAAAATTCAATTGTGAATATAGTATGTAATAGTTCAAATGTGTATGTAATATTTTGAAACTGCTGTATAAATTCAAACTGTATAGATAAGTAATATTCGAATATGTATATAACATTAAAAAAATTGCTGTATAAATTCTAATATAATCTGTAATAGTTCGAATATGTATATAACATTTAGAAACTGCTGTATAAATTATAGTTGTATATAAATGTAATAGTTCGAATGTGTATGCAATATTTTAAAACTTTGTTTAATTAAAACCTAATGTGAATTAAATCTTTTATAGTTTGAGGAATGGAATTTAAACGTTTTTATACTTCTGAGTATACCGAATTCTGCATATAGTTTGAATTTGTATGCAATACATTTTGAAAACTGCTATTTAAGCTCTACGGTTTAGCTTCCTTTTCCCCGTCCACAACCTCTAAGCTCCCAGCATTCACACAAGGAAACTAATCCTACCATTCACACAAGGGAACTTATCCCACCATTCACACAGGGGAACTAATCCCACCATTCACACAAGGGAACTAATCCCACCATTCACACAAGGGAATTAATCCCACCATTCACACAAGGGAACTAATCCCACCATTCACTCAAGGGAATTATACCCACCATTCACACAAGGTAACTAATCCCACCATTCACACAAGGGAACTAATCCCACCATTCACACAAGGGAATTAATCCCACCATTCACACAAGGGAACTAATCCCACCATTCACACAAAGGAACTAATCCCACCATTCACCCAAGGGAACTAATCCCACCATTCACACAAGGGAACTATTCCCACCATTCACACAAGGGAACTAATCCCACCATTCACACAAGGGAACTAATCCCACCATTCACACAAGGGAAGTAATCCACTCACCACATGCGCCCTGGTGCTTGACTTGTATATTCTTGCCGCGCAAACACGCCGTCCTTGACAGCATGCACGGGTTGACGTAGGTGGCGCCGTCCGTCCCGCAGACGGGAGTGAATATATCGCTGCAGCGGTGCTGACAGGAGCAGACGCGTTGGTTGTTGGCGTCCACCTGGCAGACGGCACCAAAGGGGCAGAAGTACAGGTAGCATGGCGCTGAAAATACAGAAAAATAAATTTGGTTTTTTAAATTAATTTGAATTTTATGCTTATTTATGAGTAAAATAATAATAATGATAATAATAACAATAATAATAATCATAATAATAATAATAAGAAGAAGAAGAAGAAGAAGAAGAAGAAGAAGAAAAAGTAGAAGAAGAAGAATAGTAATAATAATAAACATTTTAATGCAACGCTTTAAAATAATAATGCTCTAAAAAGGAGAAAATAAATGATTATAATTAAATACATCATAATGTACTACTATGCAAATAGCTATAAAGGAAAGCGGGAACACGATATATCTATTAAATACCGTTACTAAAATTTAAGAAACGAGCCACGCTTTCTTTATATTTATTTAAATAATGCAATATTATGGTAAAGAAAATTATTTATTTTCTCCTTTTTAGTGCATAACTTGTTATCAAAAGCTTAAAAAAATAATTTCTATTTTTAAAAAAAATAATTTCTATTTTTTAAATTGATTTCTATTTTTTAAAATTAATTTCTATTTAAAAAAATTAATTTCTATTTTTTAAATTTAATTTTAATTTTAAGACAATAGAATAGCAGGACTAAATAAACTTGCGCGCCAAATTAACTAAAAAAAAATGTTTGTGGAAAATTAGTAATTTATCCAGCGAACTACAAAATGGTTCGACGCAACATCAAAACTTCTCTTGTTATATATCATTTTTTCCCCTGCAGATTTCTTTGTTGTTTATCCTAGGTGTCTGCACTATCCAATACTTCATAAGGCGACCTAGTTCGTCAAATCCCTGCATTCCTATCACTCACACACAGTCATTACAATAAAAGAGAAAAAAAGAGGTTCCCGACCCCCCTACCTCCCCACCCCCCACCCCCAGGTTGACGATACCAGAACATTCTAGGGCCAGCTTGAAATGGCACTAGCCTTGGTTAACAGGGACGAAGCGGAAGTGCTAACGGCATTCCGGGGAGTCTGAATCGGAAATGACGTCATCGATTGTCAATATAAAAAAGATGCACCCGTGTTTGGGTAGTAGGGTGGGGTGGGGTAGGGTTGGTGTGTGTGGGGGGGGGGGGGGAGATGTCTGGTGCCAGCCGTACATTTAAATTTTAAAACGTCTCTTTGAGTCGCTGCCAGTTCTCCGCTCATAATTTGTGTATGATATGACGATAGGGCAACGTACGTTCATTAGGTTTTGTATATTGTGTCCAGAGGCGTAGCGAGGGGGGGGGGGGCTGGGGACAGTACCGGGTGACACCATTTAGGGGGGTGACACCAAGTCAAAAAATAGCATAATATATACAGAAAAATGATAATCCCACTTAATTAAGTGATTAATTAGAGCATTTTTGCCTCATCCCGACAAGTGTGGAGGGGGGGGGGGGGTGACACCATTAAGTGCCGCACCGGGTGACATCCGACCTCGCTACGCCACTGATTGTGTCTGTTCAGTTAGGTTCATTATGGATAGTATAATAATATGATGTATGCATAAATTGCCCTTTAACATTAATAATGTTTTGTATATGGTGACGGGCGTGGTCGGATGGTAGAGCTTACGACTGCTTCCCTAAAGTATCGAGTTCGAATCATGGGTATATAGGACGTCTTGATTCCACTCAGCTCTGATGAGTAACATAGTCGCGTTAGGAAAACAATGGACACTGGAAATATTGCCGACCAGACTTTCACTTCATATAGCGAGAATACTGAACCAGATGAGCTCTACTTCATCTACCCCATGTGTCTTGGGTGCGAACGGGAAAGGTACCACCGATAAAGATGATGGTTTGTATATGACGTTTGTTTCATTTTGGCCTATAACTATAACGTGACACTGATTGCATAGACTTCCCAAAAATTTGAATAAACTGAAATGATTTAAACTGTTTATTGGATTCAAGATACGCAGTCTACTGGGCTACAAAACATGCAACAATAACAAAATGGTTGAAAAAAAAATACTTCCAATAAAACCAAGGCAGAGTAAAAAATTGTTTCGCAGTTATTTCAATACGTGTATGTACCAAATTTCAAAGTAAAATTTATTTATTGCCGTCTTTGATTGCAAGTTTAAAAAAAATATAAAATTAACTGATCTCAATTTTTGAACAATTACGTGTGTTAGTATTAATTAAATATTTTAGATGCTGATCATGGTGTGTGTATGGTGTTAGTAAAGTGCAGAATATGAAACCAAAGCAAGGACCATACAATTTTTTAATTATTGTATTAGGAAAATAATTTCAACCAGCTATGAGTTGTCTGCGTACATCACAGGAGTAGTAACTATCAACTACAAATTGGCACATCATTTGATGTGAGGTTGATACAAATTGGCACATCATTTGATGTGAGGCTGCTACAAATTGGCACATCATTTGATGTGAGGCTGCTACAAATTGGCACATCATTTGATGTGAGGTTGCTACAAATTGGCACATCATTTGATGTGAGGTTGCTACAAATTGGCACATCATTTGATGTGAGGTTGCTACAAATTGGCACATCATTTGATGTGAGGTTGCTACAAATTGGCACATCATTTGATGTGAGGTTGCTACAAATTGGCACATCATTTGATGTGAGGTTGCTACAAATTGGCACATCATTTGATGTGAGGTTGCTACAAATTGGCACATCATTTAATTTAGCTAACTGCCAGCTACAAATCTGCACATCATTTGATGTCAGATAGCTACAAGCTACACATTAGCACATCATGATGTCAGATAGCTACAAGCTACAAATTAGCACATCATGATTTCGCTCAATGTATGAGCTGTATAGCGAGACGTATCATGTAAGGGAAACTACTCAACATGAAGGGAAAAGTTGTAAAAGAATTCTAGAAAACCCAGTCGTCCTCTCTCCAAGTTCAAATATTTGCAGACGGCTCTAAAGACGTCATAGACATTTCAACACAGCGCTAGTAGTTCTGGATTTAATTCATTCGTGTTAGTTCTTTGATAATTGGTCACGGCTTTTATTTGAAGATTTTAGCGAAAATCTATATTTAGAAGTCTGGATTTACTCTTGACTAAATTATTGACACGATTTAAAAAAAAAAAAAAAAAACGAAGTGTGACTTGACTTAAGCGAAACGAAATAATAACATACAGTATACTCATACATGATACTTTATTTAAAGAGATTAGAAAGAAAGTGAATATTTTGTGTGAAATCGTAATCAAGAAAATTTGTTTAAAAAGTGAGTCATGTGCTAGAAGTCTTGTTTTATATTCTTGATGCATTTTTAATTAAATTTAAATAATGCATTAATTAAAGCACGGTGGATATTTCTCATGATATCCAGTGTAGGGCCTTACAGTGTAAATACAGTTGCACTTTGTCTTACGCAGGCAATAGTTTGAAAAGTACAGGTAAAGTTAGCGTAGGTAATGTTTTCCTAACTGTACGTAACAGTCTATAGACCGATTAAGTGGAGATTATCTGTTTCTTGACCACATGGAATTAGGGGATGGTGGGGTCAGCATTTTGCACTGCTGACTACATTTGAATAGGGTTGAATCACGGACGTCTTGCAAAGTCAAAGATCCGAACATGAGACTGGCTTTGCAGCCGAAAGCTCTACCGACCGGCCACGCCGTAAGGTAAAGATTGCATAGGAAGAGGTAAAGATTGGATGAGAAGAGGTAAAGATGGGTTGGGAAGAGGTAAAGATTGCATGGGAAGAGGTAACGATTGCATGGAGAGAGGTAAAGATTGGATAGTTGGAGGTAAAGATTGCATGGGAAGAGGAGGTAAAGATTACATTGGAGGAGGTAAAGATTGCATGGAAAGAGGTAAAGATTGGATGGGAAGAGGTAAAGATTGCATGGGAAGAGGTAAAGATTGCATGGGAAGAGGAGGTAAAGATTGCATGCGAAGAGGTGAAGATTGCATGGGAAGAGGTAAAGATTGCATGGGAAGAGGTAAAGATTGCATGGGAAGAGGTAAAGATTGCATGGGAAGAGGTAAAGATTGCATGGGAAGAGGTAAAGATTGCATGGGAAGAGGTAAAGATTGCATGGGAAGAGGTAAAGATTGGTTGGGAAGAGGAGGTAAAGATTGCATGGGAAGAGGAGGTAAAGATTGCATGCGAAGAGGTGAAGATTGCATGGGAAGAGGTAAAGATTGCATGGGAAGAGGTAAAGATTGCATGGGAAGAGGTAAATATTGCATGGGAAGAGGAGGTAAAGATTGCATGAGAAGAGGTAAAGATGGGTTGGGAAGAGGTAAAGATTGCATGGGAAGAGGTAACGATTGCATGGAGAGAGGTAAAGATTGGATAGTTGGAGGTAAAGATTGCATGGGAAGAGGAGGTAAAGATTACATTGGAGGAGGTAAAGATTGCATGGAAAGAGGTAAAGATTGGATGGGAAGAGGTAAAGATTGCATGGGAAGAGGTAAAGATTGCATGGGAAGAGGAGGTAAAGATTGCATTGGAAGAGGTAAAGATTGGATGGGAAGAGGTAAAGATTGCACAGCAAATGGTAATGGTTGCATATGAAAAAGAAAGATTACAATGGAACAGGTAAAGATTGCATAGCAAGAGGTAAATAATTGTCTAGCTATAGGTAAAGATTGCATAATAATAGACACATATTGTATTTAAAAAAAGGTAAAGCTTACAAAGGAGCAGGTAAAAAGGGCTTAGCAAGAGATAAAAATTTACATACAATCATGTAAATATTGCGTGGGAACATAAAGATTGCATAGCATAAGGTAAAGCTTGCGCAGAAAAAGATACATTTTACAAAAGAACAGGTAAAGATTGCATCGGAACTGGAAAAGATTTTATGAGAACAGGTAAAGAATGTGAACACGTTAACAATCGACATTGCAAAGAAACTAAAAACGTATCGAACGCGCGACATATGAAATGTGAACATCTCTATTATACTTCTCGTGGGAATTCTGTCAACCAGGGGTTTTCTCCCTTTAAAGATCATCCCGATATTTCTTTCCCCTTGCCGGTAAAATACCATCTTCCTATTCCAGTTTTATTTTTTTTAACATTTGCAAGAATTGGGATATAAAAACAAAATCTATTTTATATTTAAAGCATTTTATTTAAAAAAACAACTTTAAAAAGTATTTCTTTGACTTAATAGAATTTTTTTTATATGATATTAGACAACCGGAAAAATGTATGTTCAGTGTAAGGTAACATCCTCATATCATACAGTAACAAATAGTAAATTTTGGCGTTTCCCTTGGAGAATTTTAGTGGGGGTGGGGGAATATTCAGCCTCTGGTAATTACTGATATCGGGACCAAAGTTCACTTTAAAAATTCACTTCTGTTTGCATTTTAAGAAATAGGGTTTACTTACATGAATTCGCTGTATTTCGGCGAACGATACAAGACAGACAAAATGAATAAGTTAATACGACCCGGACTGTATTATCGGAAGCCATTTTAATTGTGTGTTTAAAAGTAATGTTGTGGATTATATTGTAAAATACAAAGCCAAAATTAACCGGGCCCGTAGACTGTAGCTCATTTCACTGCTCATCCAACTCAATTTTTTTTTTTACCAGGGGTACCCACAAATTACTAAGTTTTTACATATCATGTATCCGCTTCACACACATGTAAACATTTGGTATCCATTGGTACACACCAGTACCTTTCAGCCAGCCCTATATACCCATATAGTACACATCAGATACCCAGCATACATTCATCTGATCCACATTATCGATACATCAGTTATACATCAACTACACATCTGATACATATCTGCTATAGATCAGCTTCACCTCAACTACACATCACCTACACATCATCTACACATCAACTACACATCATCTACACATCATCTACATATCATCTACATATCATCTATACACCAGCCACACATCATCTAAACATCATCTATACACCAGCCACACATCATCTACACATCATCTACACATCATATACACATCATCTATACACCAGCTACACATAATATGTACACTAGCCACACATCATCTACACATCCACACATCAACTACACATCATCTACACATCAACTACACATCATCTATACATCAACTACACATCTACACGCAACAGTTACACATCAGATACACATCACCATTAGCCCTAGTAGTAAACCCGCCCAAACTAATTTTCAAAGGTGACGAAATCAAGACAGAAAAAAACACCAACAACAAAACAAAAACCTTCCCACCGGATGTATTTTTGCGCCTTCCTCTAATCTTCAAAAATTGCCTTCTAATTTCCTGGAATCCAAATTTGAAAGTTTCCTTAAGTTCCGAACCCCCCAATCTGTAATTCATGCCGTGAGGTTAATTTTCTAATTTGTTTCCTTCTTCGATCCCGACTTAAAAGTCTTTAAGCCGAGGCAACATTAATGAGCATCAAAGAGAGACAAATCAGCAATCGAATCGTCACGTGATTAGAAAGACGTCAACGGTTGACATAATGGAGTGGGTGGGGGAGGGGGTACGGGAGAGGATGGGAATCCTGTTTTGGAAGAGGAGTAGGGATGGTGTGGTGATTTGGACGTAGGAGGAAGTGTACTTTAGGGAAGCTGAAGAGAAATGTTTTCGTCTTAAAATAGATACACGATAGCTTTTATAAATCCGACTATTAAAAATTGGTAAAAATAATTAGACTACTTTTATTAAATTACTGATTGAGTTTAATTTTGATTTTAACTTTGAGTTTTTGAATGAAGTTACAGTTTGAAGATGTGATGTAACCTAGTTATTGATGAGATTGTGTATACATACGCCTAAACATAATTTAATACAAAGCGAATAGATAGGGGCCTACACAACATTGTTTTTCATGTGTCACAAACATGATAGCTATGGCGGAACTAGAAAAAAAGGGCCACCCCGCAAAGAATGTTTTTGGGCCCTATATATATATATATATATATATATATATATATATATATATATATATATATATATATATATATATATATATATATATATATATATATATATATATATTATTTATTTAAGCAAAATTCGATATTACCAACATGGAGTACTCATTTCGGGCTTGTTCGATTTTTAAAAAAAATTAAATACTTAGTTTAAAAAAAAAATTAAAACAAGTTACAATGAGTACTATTAGTCCGTTTTGAAAAACTATGTTTTAATATGCGTTTGCCATGATGCTCCTTGTGATTGCTAATGTCAAAAGAATACGAAGCGTGAAATCTTTGTATAAGTAATGGTTGCTCGCGTTATGTTTATTTTCATGTTTTTTTTTGCATTTATATGATTAGTTTTAAATATATTTCCTTTTTACTCTTTGTCATTCTTTATTATGTACTTTTTAAAAAATAGAAATTATGAGAAGTAATTGCTTTTTAATTTGTTTAGTGCAAATCAATTAAAAGGTGCTTAAGAGCACACATATTTGACTATTTAAAAAGGGAAATGAGTCAATGGAAGTGGTTTGAACGTTTGCCTATCTTTCACGCGATGGAATTATTTTCAAAAGAATTTTGCCGACAACAGCGTGTGTTTGATTGTAGAAGAAAGAGGACTCGGAATGGTGTCTATAGAGTAAAGATAATGAAACGCAGCTCCAGTGTTCTTTATACAAAACAACCATCAAGTAAAAAGTGCAATTAATTTTTTTTAACTGTAAAAAATTGATTATGATCGGCGGTGGGCCTCTTTTATATCTTACTGTCACAAATACATATTTGATATCTTACTGTCACAAATAGGCCCCTACATATTTGATATCTTACTGTCACAAACACATCTTTGATATCTTACTGTCACAAATAGGCCCCTACATATTTGATATCTTACTGTCACAAACACATCTTTGATATCTTACTGTCACAAACACATCTTTGATATCTTACTGTCACAAACACATCTTTGATATCTTACTGTCACAAACACATCTTTGATATCTTACTGTCACAAATAGGCCCCTACATATTTGATATCTTACTGTCACAAACACATCTTTGATATCTTACTGTCACAAATACATATTTGATATCTTACTGTCACAAATAGGCCCCTACATATTTGATATCTTACTGTCACAAACACATCTTTGATATCTTACTGTCACAAACACATCTTTGATATCTTACTGTCACAAACACATCTTTGATATCTTACTGTCACAAACACATCTTTGATATCTTACTGTCACAAACACATCTTTGATATCTTACTGTCACAAACACATCTTTGATATCTTACTGTCACAAACACATCTTTGATATCTTACTGTCACAAACACATCTTTGATAAGTGAACAGTAAATTCCCCACTAACGAGCATAAAATCAATACTCTAAGTAAATTCATAGCTGAAATAATCAGCGAACTAGAAATGCATGGTTATTCATGCTGAGCTTTTGAAAAGTACATAAAAAACATAATTATAGAGGTAAATTTAATTTTATTGATTAAGTTTTTAGTTCCGTTTTATGTTTTTTTTTTAATATTGCAAATTTCAAGGAATTATTAGACTATGTAACTGTATATGGGGCGGAGTGGCCTAGCGGTAGAAAACTAGTAAGTCGGGAGTTTGAATCCGGGTTCAAGTCAGAAGACCGTCCCTGTGTCCGCCCTGCTACGATGGCTACCTAACTCACGTTAGTGCTGGACATAGTGCTGACCACACTATCTCTTCATATGCTGATACAGGCTGAGTTTCTTCCAGGCATCTCTACCGCCCCCCTCCCCGAACGAAATTGAATTTATATAGAAAATATATACTTTTAACAGTGTCCGCCACCCCCCCCCCCCCCCGAAAATTTTTGTCCGCCCCCCCCCCCCCCCAAAAAAAAATTTAAATGTCCCCTCCCCCCCCCCCCCTCGGAGAAAAACGTCTGGAAGAAACACTGGATACAGGTGAACTCTAATTTACTTGCCTCATGGGTCGACAGGTTTGAAAGGGAATTTTACTGTTACTAGTGTAATTGTATGGCATGTAATGAGGCTAAACTCTAAACTGTTTGGTAAATAGTGTAATGTGTGGTGAATACTTGGTTTCGTTTTGTTTCATAAATGACATTTTAAATGTGGTATCGTAGGGAGCCGTGATGTCTTGGTAGTTGACACGTTGAACAAAGGTGACGTAAAGTCAGGTGACACCTCTACTGGTGGTGTCACACCTGGTAGATGGTGACCAACACTCCGGTAGTGGTTCGTTGGTGACACGTTGGTGATCACAAATTAAGTAAAAGCTCAAGATAACTCTAGCAATTTAAAATAAAAAAGCAGAAACTTACAAAAATACACACAAAAAATATTCCCTGCTTTAAAATTTAATGCTACCTAACGCTATATTCAATAATACTATAGTATAAAGATTTACTCAACCAAACGCTATCTTCAAATTTACTATAGTACCTTTCGAACATAAATTACCAAACACATATACATCCACAAAAACTATAATATTTATTGTCTCCCTTTGCTGGGGCTAGATGAGTAGTATCCCCTGATTGAAGCTGAAGACAGTACGATTAAATTTAATTTTACGTAAGCATGTAATTGCTACA